CAGTACTGGGGGCCTCCAAGGCCACCCCTGATGGTGCTCTTATGGCACCAGGGATGAAATTCTCATCCTCACACAAATCGTTGCTCCTGAGCTCTCGCTCCAGTCTAAACTCACAGTTTTTACACCATGGCTTCCTTAATCTCTCAAAGCTAAATTCCAAGCTTCTTACCAGATAAGAACAACAACCCCATAGAACCAACTGAAGGAAGTGGCAACTCCCACATTTCAAAACAGTGACCTCCACAAGTGCCACAGCTGACCAAGATGGAGGGTTGTGGCACACAATGGTTTTTATACCCCACTGAGAGGTGGAGAGTGTTCCCATGGAACCCCAGAAGGCCCCAGGAACCTGACTGGTGACTAGGAGGTGGGAACAAGTAATAAAAGAAGCAAAAGAAACATTGACTATCCCTGTGGGCTTAGAAAGCTGTAATGTAGGGGGAGGGGGGAGGGGAGGGATAGTACAGTGGGTAGGATGCTTGTCCTGCGTGAGAGAGACCAGATTCCATCCCCAGAACCACATAAGACCCCAAAGCCCCATCAGGAGTGATCCCTGAGCACCACTTGGTATGGCCTCAAAAAACAATATGCTGTAGTGTGGTAGGGAAAGAGGTTTACAGAGACTTGGAATGAGTGAGAGCAGGCTGTAGGTGGGTGGAAGCACAGGCCTAGGAAGCACAGCTCTACTCTGGGCACAAAAGTAAAGACAGACCCAAGCCAAGATAGAGATTCTTCTGTGACCAGATCAGAGCCACATCATTTGACAAGGCTGACTGGAGCGATAGCACAGCGGTAGGGCGTTTGCCTTGCACGCAGCCAACATGGCCGACCGGAGTTCGATTCCTCCGCCCCTCTCGGAGAGCCTGGCAAGCTACCGAGAGTATCTCGCCCACACGGCAGAGCCTGGCAAGCTCCCCGTGACGTATTCGATATGCCAAACACAGTAACAACAAAGTCTCCAATGGAGACGTTACTGGGCCCGCTCGAGCAAAGGCTGACTGTAAGCAGAGTAAACCAGGAAATGGGATTGGAAACAACTATTAAAAGCCTGGTGATGATGGTCACAAATGATCCTAGTGATGGTGACAGCAACCATAATAATGACGATGGTGAGAGAGGAGAGGTGATGGGGGTGGTAGTAGATATGATGATAGTGATGGTGCTGGTGGTGGTCGATATGATGGTGGTTGTGGTGGTGGAGATGGTGATTAGGTTAGAGTGATAGTGTTGGTGGATGATGGAGATAGTGGTGATGGTGGTGGTGGTGGCAATGGTGGTAGTGGTTATGGTAGTGAAGGTAATGATAGTGGTGGTGGTAGTGGTGATAGTGGTAGCAGTGATGGTGATGGTGGTGGTGGTGGTGACAGTGGAGATGGTGGTGCTGGTGGTAGCGTGATGACAGGGGAGATGGTGGTGATGGTGGTAGTGTTAGTAGCAATAGTGGTAATGGCAGTGGTAATGGTAGTAATGGTGATAGTGGTGATGGTTGTGGTAAAGGTGATGGTGGTGGTAGTGGTTATGGTGGTAGGTTGTGGTGGTGGTGATAGTGGTGATGGTGATGGTGGTAGTGGTGGTGATGGTGGTGGTAGTGCTTCTTATTGAACACACCATAAAGCAGTCAGTCTGCTGAGCATCTTGCCAACAATTCCTTATGCTCTCCCTAAACTTTTGCAGCATCAAGACATCTCCCTTTACAGACGAGGGAAGCAAGAATCAGTGGAATTAGTCAGCTTGCCCAAGGTCGCCGATGCTAGAAAGTGGCAGAGCTGGGGTTTGTCGCATGTACCAGTGTTGAGTCTCAGTGAGTCCCAGGACCCACGCCACCCCCCACAGGCACGTATGCATGTTCTGTGTTCTGCCCCTCTGTGGGGCTGGAGTGTTGCAGTCAGAGGGTCAGGTCTGGTGGGGGGGGCGGGGAGGCGCACAGAGAGGAGGTAAGGGGGTGGCACTATCAGAGGAGATGAGGAGGAAGCCCCAATACTCCCAAGTAGGAGAAAGAACGCTTACCTGGCACCTCCCCTTTCAAGTCTGCCCTCAGCCAGGCTGTCACAGAAACAGAAACTTATTTATAGCACCTAGCTCCTGACAGGCATGGGAAGAAGGTTTTTAACAGCTCCAGGGGTAAAGGGAGCCCCTGGTGATTCTGAATTACAAATCCATCCCTCCTCCCCATCCTGTAGATTTCACACCATGGTGTGTAGATTTCAGGAGACTCCAAACACTGACCAAGGACAGAAAAAAGTTTGACTTTTCGAAATCTAAGAAAACTAGCAAGGGCAGGTGGGGAGCTGGGGAAAGCTCACAGGTTCTTCCCAGGCCTGGAGTCTGCGCTTGGCTCTCTGCCTGTGTCTCTGCCTCAGTTCCTTCTCAGCAAAGCGCGAAGTCTGAGTGCATTTGTGTTTGGTATGCACAGAAAGATTGCTTGGCTGCTTCGAGAATTAGGAGGGAGGGACCTTGTTCCTGATCTGTTCTGTTCTGGTTCTCTACAACCGGGGGATTCTCTCTCTCCTCTCTCTCTCTCCCTCTCCCTCTTTCTCTTTCTCTCTCTCCCTCTCTCTCCTCCTCCTCCCATCTCTCCCCCTCTCTCTCCTCTCCCCTCCCTCTCTTTCCTCTCTCCCCTTTATCTCCTCTCTCTCTCTCTCTCTCTCTCTCTCTCTCTCTCTCTCTCTCTCTCTCTCTCTCCATTGCAAACTATTCTATTCCTCCTCCCCTTTGGTAAAGAAATATTTAAGTCGCATGCATTCTTGGAGAGAATTTTCAAAAAACACTCAACCCACAAGAATTCTGTTCCTCCCACAAAGTCAGTCTTAGTCCTGTGCGCATTTGCAACACGGGGCGGGCTCCGAGGTTGTGAGCCCATCAGCATTTCCTGCTAGCGCCTTTAATCCCAGTAGGTCAGAGTCACTCACACAACTGCTGCTTCAGGAAACAGCCACCCTCACCCCCACACCGGGGTCTCCCTGCCACCCAGAGCAGCTCTGAGCTGAAATCATTGCAGTAGGAACAGGAAATAAAGCTCATATTTAACTGGACCTCAGTAAACCCTGATTCTCTAGGTTTAACATTTGCTATCTGTGGGTGTAGTTGATTTATTATGGTTACTATCTAGCAGGGGGGTGGTGTCCTTTTTCAATTATTTATTAAAACTCTTCATGGTATTTATTAAAATGGTTTATCATCTACGTGTCATAGTGTCTTAAAAGGAAATTAACTGTGGGACAGAAATAAACCAAATGACCACTCCGGAGAGCTTGCTCCCTCCAAACCAGATGGGGTACTCTGCACCTATCTCCTGGGGACCAAGCTGCCCCCCACCAGCCCACCTTGTGTAGCTTGTCACATGGCCTCTGGGATGAGTGTGGACTCAAAACCGGGCACCGACAGCCTGTCCCCGCTGGGCTCCCCACTCCAAGTGGAAATGGCGGGTTACTATCAGGTCATTTCCGTTCTGAACCTTGTAGCATAATATTAGACTTTCCCCGTGGCATGAAATTCTGACAGATCTTCCATCTCACGGAAGGAAACACGTTCACTCACAGAGGAAGAAAAAGAAAAACATGCCCCAGGAATCCTTCCTTTCTTAGCACAGCCAGGAAGGCAGGGATGGCAGGGCTCCTCGGAGGCAGGGGCGGGGGTGGCGGGGCATGGTGTCGCTCCAGAAGCACCTCATGGAAGCCAGTCTCTGGAGTCCAAGAAATCCTCCATGAAGAGTGACTATTTCAAATACCCTTGTAAGCCCCAAAGGGGTTGGGAAGGCAGCTCGGGGGTCTGGGGCACCTGCCTTCTGTGCACAATGATGCCAGCTCCAATCCTGGCACCACCTGGGCAGGGGCATCACTGAATGTCACCTAAATATCCCCCAAGCCATCACCACTGAGCCCCAGCAGCATCACACTCCCGAACACCAGCATTGAGGTGCTCCTGGGAGTGGCCCCAGGGTAGCCTGAGCATGACTGGGGGCCCTCCTCATAGCAGAGACCTGCCTTAGAGAACCTCTAGGGCGTTCTACAGGAGGAGAAACAATTGCTACAAGATAGGCCTTGAAGTTGCTTAAAAATATATATATTATAGATTTTCTTTTTATTATTTTCTTTGGAAATTGATCTTTTCCTCCAACACACACACACACACACACACACACACACACACACACGCACACACACACATTGCAATTAAACTGAGGTTAAATGCTAGATTTGCAACGGGAGGGGGGTGGGGCGGAATATTTAGAAAATATGAAATTCTTTCCCTGATCTGCAGGAGAAGCAGGCTCAAAAATAAAACATCTGAATACAGAAGGGGAGGGAATTATGTAATTCAGGTAATGTAAGTATGTGAAAGGACCGATTCATCCCCCTGGAGGAGGGAGAATAACTAGTGAGGCAGAAAAAAAATAGAAGGCGCGTGAGCTGATGGTCAGAGCCACAGAATTTTCTGGAAGAACTTTTGGAAGGTATTCCATGAACAGGTTGGCATTCCCATCTGAAAATCCTTGTCCGGAAGTGAAGGAGTCATGGGGGGGCAGAGTGATCGAGTGACTGGACGGGAGCAGCTAGGAAGAAGAGGAGAACAGAGAAACCTCAGTACAGGTGCACTTGGTAGCACCTTCCTGGATAAGCTATTGTTGAGCCCAGGGATGTAACTCCAAGCATTTGTCTTGCAGGCATGGGCAATGGGATTGACCCCACACACACACACACACACACACACACACACACAAGAAGAAGAGGTGTTTATTGGGCAGGTACTGAACCAAACACCTTCTACTAAGCCTGCCACCAGGCTTTATTAAACCAGTTGACTTAAGAGCTTTGAGCTGGCGCTTGGGCCAAAGGCCCAGGAAGTGGTAGTCAGGTGACCATCTTCACCCTCGGTTCCAAGGGCTGCTAAGCCCCAGAGACAGGACCCATGCATTGAAGGTCCCCAAGGGGAAGGGAGCAGAAAGCAAGCAAGGCCAGCTGTTGAGCTAAAACAAAGCCACATCGCTTTCTGTCTTCTAGGCTTATCTGAGACGACAGGACTACAGACAAGACCCAAATGAGAAGAAGAAAGATCAGTTCGGGGGGCCAGAGACCAGTGGGGAGAGAACCCGGTGTTCTAGTGGGTCATCTTCCAAACAGGTACTTAGAACTCCAGGAGACATTCTATAGCTACTGTTAAAGCTCTGTGTGTGTGTGTGTGTGTGTGTGTGTGTGTGTGTGTGTACGTGCATGCGTGCGCATGCACATATGTGTATGTGAGAGTGAGTGTATGTGTGAGAGTGTGTATGTGTGTATATGCCTGTGTCAGAGAGTGTGCAACCAAGGGAAGACCACCTTGGAAAGGGAAATGCCCAGATTCCTACAGATGATACCATGGAGTGGGAGGTAGGGGCTTCTGTGCTGCCACAACCCTATCACCCCCTGCCTCCCCGCTCTTCCTTGGCCGTGGGACCACAGAAGGCCTCCTCAGCACCTGCCCTGCATCCAAGCACATGGGCCAGCAGTTACAATCAAGCAGCAGGCCAGCACTCTGGTCCATGGACTAGTGACCCTGGCATCACTCAGTCTGGTATATTTTTAAGGGGGAAAAGCCTCAAAGGTAGCCACACCATGGAGCAACTCGCAACTGTTGCCATTTTTGTTTGGGATGAAAAACTTAATAAAGAACAAAAACCAACACAATAGCATGCAACAATGAGCCCCATGGAAGTAACCTAAGTTTGAGTGCTCCAGTGGTCCAGTGCTGTCATCGATTTCTCACAAGTTTACATATATTTGCCTCACTTTACAGATGAGAAAACGGAGCTTGAGGAGAGTTCAGAAACTCCCCACAATGGGGTGGGGTGGGGCTTCCCCACCAGACAGACCCCAGAGGGCAGGCTCCAGGCCACAAGCTCTGCAGGCCTCTTCCACACGCACGGGCTTAGCCAGGTGAGAATCTGACTTACCCCGGGTAAGCACCGCATACCACAAACTGCCTTCGACACCAGTTGTTTGCAGGGTGAATTGATTTAAGATGACGAATATGCCTTTTATGAATTCCTAGTTAATATTTTATAGATGAAATATACTCCAGAGGATTTTCTGTCTCTCCTCCCCTCCATACCCTCCACCTCTGAGCCTGGCTACCTGGTATCAATCAAGTTCTGGTTGGGATTTCTTCCTTAATCCAGAATGCTCACACTGTGGTTATTTAATGTTCAAAGGAGCTCTTAGAAAGCGTCCCTGATTGATGTTCATGGCTGTCGATGTTTCCCTGGGAGAGCTGGACTCCCGATTAAGGCGCACTGGCAGCGCTGAGGTTACAGGTTCCTGTGTTCCACAGACTGTGGCTTTTCCTTCTTTGCGTTGGACTCTGGGAAGGAGCTGATCTGGACCTTCAGTCTAGTTTGGCCAGAACCAACCTTTTGAGCATCAAATGAGTTTCATGCTTTTTATGCTTAAAAACAAAAAAATAAGGACAGGGGCTGGAGTGATAGCACAGCAGGTCGGGCGTTTACCTTGCACGTGGCCGACCCGGGTTTGATTCCCAGCATCCCATATGGTCCCCCGAGCACTGCCAGGAGTAATTCCTGAGTGTAGAGCCAGAAGTGACCCTTGTACATCGCTGGGTGTAACCCCCCCAAACAACAACAACAACAACAACAACAAGGACAGTCTTCCTTTCTTTTTCTTTTCGCTCTTTCCTTCCTCCTCTCCTCACGTTTCCTCTCCCCTTCTCTCCCCTCCTCCCCCCTCCCCTCTCCTCTCCTCCTGTCAGACACTGGCATGTCACAGTCTTCCTGGATGGGACTCCCTACACTAACATGACAAGATTCTTCTGCTTTCGTGCCAGGAGGACAGTCAGGCAGAGCCATGGCACATGTTGTGTGGCAACACACATATACATTTGGGGGATATTCTAGGACTTGGAGTGTCATGTTTCTCCCCCCACAAACTTTGGGGGACAAGCTGGTGACGAATCGCTGTCATTTTCTCTCCCCTGCAGTGCAAATCACACGTTCTAGAACTCCTCTTTGGGAAGCTTACCTGAGAAGGGGCACATTTGGGGCTGGTGGGTTGGTTTGGGGGTCAGGACACTTGCCTTGAATTTGATCCCTAGCACCGCATACCCCTCCCCCCCACCCCAAGCACTGCCATGGTGGGCACCAGCACATCTGAGTGACATTAGATGATCTGGCCTGCTTGCTGAGGGATTGCCAGGAGCACCACCCCATGCACCTCCTGAGCATGACTTAGGCACGCGTTCCTCCCCCCTCCCCCCAAAAAAGGAGCACCCCTCCCCCGGTTGTACATTCAAGCATAATTCAGAGGGGTCTAAGTGATAGGACAGCAGGGAGGGCGTTTGCCTTGCATGTGGCCAACCCAAGTCAGATCCCCGGCATCCCATATGGTCCCCCAGCACCTCCAGGAGTGATCCCTGAGTGCAGAGCCAGGAGCAACCCCTGAGCATCACCAGGCGTGACCCAAAAAGAGGGGGAAAAGCGGGGTTCTGGTATGAATACAGTGCTCTGCAGTAGAGCACCCTTTGTGTGTGTTTGGGGGCGGTGCACTCCTGACATAGCAACCTGGGGGTTGTCTGCACTCTGTCGGGAGACCTCACTCTGCCCGAGACAGCGGCTGTACTTCTTACATAACCCCAGTTTTCGCAGATAATGATGTCCCCAGGGCTGGGCCTGGAGTGCACAGGCATCTTCAAGGTCACATCTTCTCATCCAGGAAGAGTGACAAAATTAGAATTTTCCACAGTGCAGCTCACCTCTGCCTCACTCTCTGCATTACAGTTATTCTTTGGGGGATCCTGGAGGCTCTGTGTCCGGATGCAGAAGCACAGGAAGGGCAGGGGGAGAGGAAATGTCACGGAATCCGGAACTCCTGGCCATCCGAATGGTGCCTCCGGATAGCCCCCCTCCCGTCTTCTGTGTGGGAGTCACAGAGGCCAGAACCTGGGACAAGGTCACCCCTCAGCCTGCCTCCAGGCTCAAAGAATGAAATCCTGCTCTAGGGTTGGCTGGGCACTGCCCTTTCCCAGATTTGAATCCAAATTTCTCCAGAGATCTGCTATCTGCAGCCACCACAGTTACGGCCTGGCGACTATGTCTCAGACCCTCAGGGACAGCCAAACTGATGCCCCCTCCTACAGCCTCCTGAATGCCAAGCAAGGTCACAGGGCCCAGCTCCCCGACCTGTCACAGGTGGGGAGACTGGGGCCTCCCAGAGGAGAGGCCAGGCCAAACCCATCTGATTTCCACCACCCGGAGGATTGGACGTGACGTCAGAGCACAAGAGTTGCAAAAGCACCCCTGTGGGTCAGCATGGGGCAGGAGAGACAGCCAAGTCACGCTAAAGCTGCCAGGGGCACACCTGCCAGAGCCCTGCGTGCACACTGCCCCTTGCTTCTGCCTGAGTCAGCAGTGGCCGGCAGCCCTAGGGAATGCCTTCCTCTGATGGGAGAGGTTGTCTCCTGCTTCCTTGAGTGGGGACTGCCACAGTGAGTGGTCCTGGCAACATCTCCGCCATGTGTGTGGTCACCAGGCGAAGGTGGCCGCTACCTGGATTGTAATTCCTGTCACTTGTTGAGCCCCACAACAGGTTCAGACTGTCCCTGTCCCAGTGGGCCTGGAACAGGAGAGGAGTTCCCCTTCGAGGAACTATCCAATGGCAAGTCATCATGCCAGACCCCCCACTTCTAACTAGGAGGAGCCTCAAAAGGCCTGCCTTGGGGCTGGAGCGATAGCATAGTGGGCATGGTGTTTACCTTGCACACGGCCGACCGGGTTCGATTCCCAGCATCCCATGTGGTTCCCCGAGCACCACCAGGAGTAATTCCTGAGTGCATGAGCCAGGAGTAACCTCTGTGCATCACCGGGTTCACACCCAAAAAGAAAAAATAAAATTAAAAAAAAAGGCCGCCTTCAGGAAATGCCACCCCCTCTCCCTCCCACTGAGGTTGTCCCTGCTGTGTTAAACCCCAGCCCCCATGGGAAGCAGTGCCCCCTGCTGAGGGGTTCCTGAAAGTGGCACCTTCTAACCACACATCTAACCACACTTCTGGATGGCCTTGGCAGAGTTGGGCGCTTACCATCCTGGGGCCAGCGCTGGTCCTCACCACAGCGTGAACTCGGGCAAAGCCCTTGGCACTTTCCCTTCCCACTCAGGAGCCGCTTATTATGATGCTTATCTCCGGGGAGAGCAAAGGAGACTCAGAAACAACCGAATCACTTCAGGCCACTCTGGAAATGGTGCTGGTGCCAGCAGCTCCCAGGGTGTCCGGGCAGGAGCCTGTGTGGCGGCTCCTCACCTGCCTCCTTTTGCCACCACCCTGCCCCAGGCCACAGTTCTGAAGGGAAGCGAGAAAGCTAACCGGCTTCTTCTCGGACCCTTTTCGAAGTTGCATACGAGTGCATGCACTGCTGGATTGGATTCGAGTTTAACAGGAAGACCGACGGCAGAACCATCTGGAAAGGGACGACTCCCTGGGCAGAAAAGCCACGGAGCCTCTGAGGCGAGGTCACACCCTGCCTTCCCTCCCTGAGTCCCCAGGGCAACTAAGCTGGCTGAGACCCTGAGGGCACTCACACAGAAGGGGGTGCACAGGAAATGAAGAAAATGGTTAGCCCTGACTCCGGGGACAGCAGCCTTCCATGAAGAGAGACATCCCCCCGACCCGTCTTGACTTCCAGTGCCCAGATCCTCGCTGGGAGCCCGTGCCACACTAGCACCTATGTCACCTCAGCGACTTTGTGGGCAGGAAAGATCAGTTCTCGGTTTTCCAGGAGCGCTGTTGGCTCAGCCAGCAGGACTAGGATTACTGTCCTATCACCGGCAGCCACCGAGCCACTGAAATATTTAGATTCCAGGTCACAGGGGACCCAAGTTAACCCGTTTGGCAGGAGCCAGAGGCAGTTAACCTGACACTGCAGTGGCCACTGGCACCGCCTCAGGCCAGGCTTGGTGAGCTCAGAGGCCCAGGAAGTGAGGTCAGCTTGAAGGCTGCCGCCCAGCACTGACATTTGAGTGGTTTGGTTGCTGATAACCCTCGTAGACTCGAGAAGTGAAGGGGAAAAATAAAGCCTCTCCGAGTAACAGTGGCCTTCAGGAGCAGAAATCCCATCAGAAGTCGAAAACTGTGCCCCTCG